AAAAGAAAAAGAAGGAAAGAAAAAGGAAAAACTATCTCCAAAACTCCTTCAAATCATCCATGGAGCATAGTACATAACCCCGGCCAATCAGTCATCGTTCTTACAAAGTCTGAGGCTCACTGATGAAAAATTAAGTAAAGAAACAAAAGGCCAGTCTGCAGGCAGTCAGCCCTCTCTGGAATTCCACCAGGGTCCAGAGGTGCACACGCAGGACTGAGGAACGAGGAAGGGTCCACCCACTTCTGACATGGCCTCCCTAATCTTGACAGTTAAATGCTTTCTTGGTGGAGATGAGGATTAAACTGCATTCCTGATGTGATGCTATCATACCCTTGAATGTCACAGAATCTCACAGACCCGGCTTCTTTCCCGGCCAAGACTCCAGTCATCCAAGCCACACCTCTGCCCCTCCCACCAAGCTTCCAGCAAAGGGGTGGGTGCCACGCCCACCCAGGCTTCAGGCCGTGCCAGGGTCCCTTGTGCTTCCTGAACAACGCTAGGCTGTGAGTGGGCACGTGGCACACAGATGTGCCCACTGCAGCTGGCTCTCTGGCTTCCTCCCCCTCCGGGGCCCCACCCGGCTGCCCCCTGCAGGGCCGCACAGCTGGTTGTGAGTGTCCGCTTCCCATCACTCCCTGCGGCCCTAAACAGGGTGTCTGAGAAACAACTCTCTGGGAGTCCCTGGGCTTCTAATCATACTCCCAGCAGCACACAGCTGTGGGGAAGTGAGAGGAGGGATTCTGGGGCCACCACCCACTCGGCCTGTCTGCCAGCTCCTGTTACAGCTTCCACGTCACAGCAGTCCTCATCCCCACACACTTTGCTGAACCGCCCTCCACAGCAGCCCCCACCGGTGACCTGAAGACCCAAGTCCCTGTCTCCCCAGTGGGTCTAGGCTGCAGCACTGTCCCTCTGGCTCCAGCTCTGACTTGCCTTGGGCAGCCAAGGTAGAGGGCTCCATCTTCACTCAATAGCTAGAGATGCTCACTTGAGCAGAGCCCTGGGTGGGCCTTGGGACAAAAAGCAATCAGGCTGCCCCAACTCAGTGACAAACAGCAATGATAAACCCTGGGCTGACCTGAACCCCAGCTTTCAGAAGGGCCTGAGCTAGGTATGCAGCACTCAGAGGGGTAAGGGAAGGGCCAAATGAGCCCCCCAGGGTCTCAGACGGCTGGGCAGAGGAGGGGCTATACACCTGGATCATTGTGTAAACAAGTGACAGCAGGTGACCTATGGCCTTTCATAGCAGCCACCCTGATAGGAAGGGGTGGGAGATTTGCTTTCTTGAAGGCTAAAGCCATTGTCACGCTTGTCCCTCCCAGGCTGGGCCCACTCTGCTGGGGGCTCACAGTAAAGATGCACGTGCAGCTCAGCCTTCAGATCTCCCATGCTCAGTCTCCACCTCACCTTCCCCAGGGCCCCCCCAAGCCTCTGCAGCTCCTTGAATTCATTCCCTCAGCAAGAGTAACCATCACAGACTTCCTTCCCAGTCCCAACACCCACCATCACAAATCAAATACAGAACTGCCAGGCTACCTTAGCCCTCAGCCCCCTAGGAAATATTACCCCCCCGCCTTGAATGAGATCTCCAAGCCTCTCACTCCCCACCCATGGCCCTGGTAAAGCCAGCCAATCCACTAAGCCTAAGGCTGACAGAGCCCAGCTCAGGTGACCGCTCCCCGCCCACAGGCAGGCGGTCTCCTGGCAGCCGCCAGCACCAGCTATCTTTAGCCTTGGCTTCTCTGCCCAAGGAGCTGTGAATGATTCTTTGCCCAGAGCCAGGGACCCAGAGAAGGTGACTCGAGTGACAAGTACGGTCAGGCCACTAGGAACCTCAGTTCCCAGGCCTATGCTCTGCTCACCATCTTCCAAAAAAGACCCACCTGCCCCAGGGAGACCCCAACACCCCACCCCAGGGCAGCCGCTAGTAAGCTGCCCTAACCTTTCTCCCCAGCCAGCCAGCTGCCCTCAGGCCTGGGGGTCAGCTCAAGGGGAAACTCAAAAGTGTTGAGTTTGATTTAAATCCAAAGCCTGGATTTAAATCTCCAAATCCCACACCAGCTGTGTGGCCTTGGAAGATTTACTTTACATCCCTGAGCCTCGAGTATCTCATATGCAAAATGAAGAGAATGGCAGCACCATTTCAAGGGCTGCAAAGATATGTCTGCAAATCCCACAGTAGTACCTGACCCAAACTAAGTGCTGAAGTAACAGCAGCTCCCTCAAAGGCCTCAGAGGAGCCCACGGCCTCAGGGAGTCTGTTGCATGGGACCCCCAGGCTTCCAGGAGACAAAAGCAGAGACTCAGACTGCAGGTCTCTTGTTCAAGCCTGTATCTTTCAGTGAGGGAACTGCGTCCAAGGGGCAAGGGCCTGCCCAGGGCCACAGAGGCAGGAGATCTCCCTGTTATGGGGCCTATCTGGGCGTTATTGGCCTAGGGGACCAGCAGCCAAGGTGGCTCCCACTCCTGCCCTGGGGAGCCTCTCTCTGGCAGAGCAGGGTGGACTTGGCCCTGGGGCCTCTCCCAGATTGCCCCGAGTCCACTCCCAGGATGCCCCTGGCCCTCTCCCAGCTGCTCCTTTCCCTCTCACAGAATGCCCCCAGTTCTCCCCTGTAATGCTCCAGCTGGCTCTGAGAAATGCTCCCCAGCCCTCTCCAGCTGCTCCCTTCCCTCTCCCCGCTCTCTCCCAGCTCTCTCCAGCTGCACACGCTTAGGTGGGCACCCCCAGTACTTTCCAAAGCCTCAGAAACAGCCAAGGAGTATAGAAAGGCCTGATTGCGCCGCACCCACCCTGGACCCACCCCACCCTTCCCCAACAGAGTTAGACACAGATCTCATTCCCCCACACCCGATCCCATTCCTGTGGCCTCCTCTGGCCTCTGTCCCCAGTGGCCTTCAAGAGCCATAGAGCCATGGCCCAGCTCACCCCCATTCCATCCTGCTGTTTGGGCCCTCTCTAGGGAGAAGGGAACTGCCAGGGTCATCTCACTCACTGCTACTTCTGTCTTCAGACACAGAAACAGAAATGGCTTGTTCTGGACTTAGCAGATCTCTGGGGAAGAGTTTCAGGAGCAGACCAGAGTATTCAGAGCCCTTGAGTCAGAGAGCCCTCTCTTGTACCTAAACATTGCCTCCAGGCTGACACGGTGTTTAAGCCCCTTCTGTCACTGGCCTCTGGCCTGTAATGGGCTTTGGTAAGGATGCCCTGGAAGTCCCTTCCAGGCTTTGGAACTAGACAAGTATGGGTGTGAATCCACTTCCAAGGCTGCATGGCCTTGGGAAGATTATCCAAACTTTCTAAGCCTCACCTACAAAAGGGAACAATGGAACCGGCCACCCTGCAGGGTGATGGGCATACACCATGCTCAGCAGATCTAAATCAATCTAATCTGCTCTGCCCCAACATTAACCCTGCAGATGCCGCTCTCCTGGCAACAAGCTTCTGTAGCTCCCACTTGCCTTGACATGCAAGGTTTCCCAGTCTGGCCACACTCTATTGCCCGCTCCCACCCGACCTTCCCTGTGACCCTACCACCCTAACACAGACCTAAAGTATACAAGCCTCCAACTCTCTTCTTCCCCAGTGTACATGGCCAGTACCAGTGCTCCCTCCTCCAGGAAGTCGTCTGTGATTTTGTCAGTCTGCACTGATCTCTTTCCTCCGAGCTCTCCTACTCTACAAATTCAGGTCTTGCCATCTTCTACCTGACAGCCTGATTTTCACCAACTCCCCGAGGCCAACGGCTACCCACACTCACCAGCTGCTTGTTGAAGTTCTGGACACACTGTTCAAACTGCTCATCCTTTGTTTCATCTGCTTTCCCCAGTTTCTGGAGGACCTGGTGATGCAAAAGGAGGAGAGGAGATTGTTGTTTTGAGAAAGAGAATGACCAAACCAAGACTGCTCAGTCAGTAACGCCACAGACCTGGGTGTGGGGGGCTCAGAGCTGACATCACTCAGCCCAGGGTGATCTACAAGACTGAGTGTGGGGGGCTCAGAGCTGACATCACCCAACCCGGGGCACCAATGTTCTATACAACACGTAGTAGTGCCTGCCTCACAGCACTCTAGGAATGGCAACTCCCTAAAAGGCCATCAGCTCTTGAGGCCTCCCCACTCTCCATCCAGGGCTCAACCATCAGCCAAGCATGGGAACTTGGGACAGTCTTGCCATGGTGACCAACACCAAGGGGGAGGCCTCAAAGACAGCAGGAGGGACTGGGCACCCTCCTTGCTGATCTCACACTTCACCTCTGGGTGTTCCACCCCTACCCTGGCTACTGAAGAATGAGCTGATCAGGAGAGGGGCCAACCAAGGGCAGCCTCAACTCCCCACACAACTCTGTGGTCACAGAGGGGCAGAAGGGCACGCACAGGCTCACAGCCACAGCCTCTGCTCTCATGTGGAAATCTCATAGACAGACAGACACCCTTATGATAAGGCTGTCCATATCAGGGAAATGTGGGGGGATGGGTGGGCAGAGGCAGGAGGGAGGCCCACTCTAGGAGAAGGGGAAAGCCCTAGAAAAAGTAAGGGACTGGGCCAGGAAGCCCTGACCAGAAAGGCCAGCCCACCAGATCCTCCCAGACTCCCCTGTCTGGACCCTGCTCACTCTGATCCCAGAGCTCTCCATGAGGGGTGGAGGGGGCAGGGCAGGGGAAGCAGGACACAGAAGCCAGGAGAGGTGAGTGCAGAAAGGACAATACGGACGGACGGACGGACGGACGGACGTGTCAGCAGAAGTCTCTGCAGAGGCAGTGGCCAGGACCCAACAAGGGAGGGAGGTGGAGGGAGAAAAGGTGGGCCCAGGGCAAAGGGTAGCCCTGAGAGCAGCGACCAGCCCAGCAGCTGCGATGGCCAGCAGGATACCACCAGCACGTCCTCCCTCTGAAGACCCCAAAGGGGCTCACGCTGCCTGGAATGCCAGCTGTACCTGACCAGGGCCCAGGCCAGGGACCTGGACCAAGTGGTGCCTAGTGCCAGGACCGAGCTGGGTCCCTTCCCACCCTGTCTGGCCCTTGCAGGGTCCATGCCACCCTGCTGATCCTTCACTCAGGATCCCCAGCAAGCCCGGACACTCATGGCCATCTCTTCACCAAGTGACTGCTCTGTACCCATCTGGAGTGTCTCGGCTGGGACAGGAAAGATGAGTCACAACACATAGGGAAGCACAAGGGGCCGTGGGAGCCTAGGGAGGAGATCCCATCCGGCCAGAGTAGGCAGGGAGGATTTCCTGGGGGACGCAGCAGCTCAGAAAGAAGGGAGAGCTCACATCAAAGTCAAGGGGACCAGGGAGCCAAAGCCCCTTACGGAGGAATTTCAAATTGCTCAAGGTGACTAGAGGTGGCAGAAGACAGGGTGGGAGGGGGAAAGGGACAAGCAAGAGGAGGAGGGGTAGGTTGTGGGAACACCGCTAACAGCTTTGTGCTACTAATACAGCAGTCAGGACACAGTCCATCGGGCAAATGCAGCTGTAAGCCAAGGGTGGATGCGGGCTTGAGAGGAGAAAACCAAACTGAAGCCTCCATGAGCAAGAAGATGACACTGCACACTCCAGGGGCCCCCTGCTCCCCTGGCGGCCCTAGCCAGCTGGATCCCCCAGAAAGGGGGTGGGCCAGGGAGGGACCTGGCTAGCCCAGGGCTGAGCTTGGATAGGTGACTGAGCCCCACTCATAGACACTACCCCACACCCTTGCCGCCTTCAAGAGAGAAATGGGTTACCAAACGGGACAGCACTTTCAGAAGTTGACATGGCGCTTCTGCCAGGGAGAACCAAAGGCTCCCAGAGACAGGTCAGGGCCCTCAAGGCAGGAGGTGACCTCTTCCGCCCCCTGCTCTCCTTCTCCTCAAAGAGGTAGATATATTCAGTCAGCCAAGGGTCCCTAGGCTCCAGGCCCCAAAGTGTCCAGTTCCCACTGTAATGGGCTCTGTCCAGACAGCTGGAGCCACTGGGACATCTTCTAGCCTTAACAGAGGTCAGTCAAGGTGACAGTGCACCTAGCATGATTCTGAGAAGAGGGATACCTACTCTCTGACCCTCACATGCCTCGTCTGCAAGATGAAGAGAATATTAGCACCCACCTAAAGGATTAAAGGATCACGTCTGTAAAACACACAGCCGTGC